ACAGAAATGGTATTTAATATGATCACACATCAGATTTACTGGTTAGTTGCTAATGTACTGAGTGTTGGGGGCCTACCTTGCAGGGAGCCAGTAATTTGCCTGCGAGTCTATCAGGGCGGGGATGTGCAAAGCAGAATGTACTCTTCAAACCCATTAGAGGTGAATGTTGTTATTTTTAACCTTCTGCACTGCAGAACTGCTGTCAAAAGTGTAGCCAAGGATTTATAAAATGGGCAAGGTAACCCTCATGCTGAGCTGGGAGGAATGGGGCTGAGAGATAGGAGAAAATCCAGTGGACAGAAACTGTATCCTCCCAGCCTCACCTCTCCTCCCTTTCTGGACAGTTTTAAGCTAGCAGAGGATCCTGGGAGGTACACTTAGGCCAGAAAGCTGTGCTTAGAACTGGTGACCTTCCCACCACCTCTCTGTTGCCTGTCATAGTTTAGACCAAGGATTACGGCAAATCTGATTTAAGAAGTGGACTATCGAGCCTTTAAGGAGGCATATCTGTCTTCATGCTGTCACCTTGGTTATGCTGTGCTGGCCTCCACTGTTTGATGCAAGAAAACCAAAAGCCAAAAGTGGAGATTCACATAACCCTCATCCTCTTAATATCGTTCTATTCTAGAGCAGTTTTGTTAGAAAGGGAGATTAAGCATATACACAAGAGGAGGAAATGGAGCACCATTGGGGGCCTTATATCAGCATATGAATGAATCCCTATGTTCTAAAATTATGAATTTAATGCAGTCATCTCCTTGTGAGGTTTTGTGTCCCTTTCCTTTCTGCAGCATTAAGGGAAAAATCAATGTTCCAAGAATACATTTTTATTGAAGTTTTATTGAAGTGTCAGTCTGGAAGTATATTTAATCAAAATGTAAGGTCTTTGCTTGCTGCAATATGTGTTTTCATATATTTTAACTAGTGTCACTTCGTAGGCAATGCTAAATGTTTTGTGCACATTGAGTATGTATATGTATAATTGCAAAAATAATTGTATTATCTAAGTGTATATATATATATATATATAAAGTTACCATTTCCAAAAATGTGACTGTAGTTTCACAGACCAAATAAATCTTACATAGATTTCTTGCCTCCTCTCCTCTTTCCCCTCAGAAAAGACTTAGCTGGAAAACCCAGCCTGTAAAACCTCCCCTCATCTGCCCCTCACTCTTCTCCAGACTCATTTCTTGCCTCTTCTTCTTTGCACATCAAATTCTTCCTTTGAATTTACAGCATTTATCATTCCTTTCCATCTCTGCACACACTGGCCTGCAAGGTTCCCTCTACCGACTCTCCCACTCCCACCCGTGTGCCAGCTCCTACCCTCATCAGTAAAGATGAACGCACGCTCCCGCCTCCAGGAGGCCTTCCGTGATCCACCAGGCTGGGTGCTCCTGCAAGACCCGGAGGAGTTCTCTACTGCTGCGCTATCACATTGTATTATAATTTGTCTCCTCATTATGTATGAGAGCCTAAGTGCTATTTAAAATTTTTTTTTTAAATTTCCCATGCCTATGTCTAGTATCTGGCATGAAACCACATAGTAGAACTCTGACAAAAAAAAAAAAAACAAACAAACCTTTAAATTTGTGCTTAAGAGTTTAAAAAAGGGAGAAGCAATAACTTGGTTTCGATGTGTACATATAGCGAGTACACAGAGAACAGGGCCATGTTTTGAACAAAGCTCCTCATACTGAGAACAAAGGGATCTCCCTCCTATTTGAATGAGAATAGTGTGCTGGACGTGGAGTCACTTCTGACTGTGCAGATTCCAAGGCAGAGCAATTTCTCCGGTGCCCTTGGGTAGTACTTATGCTCAGTTTTTGTAGGGCATGTATTGCCTGGTTGTTAGAATTTCTGGGTCATGGAATTGTGACTACAAATCTGAAATCTTGATATGAAAAGATAATAAAATTTGATTTCTGAATTAAATATTCTGGGAATCCACACAGAATAAAAATAAACAGATAAGAAAATTAAAAATTTACTCCCCCAAGAAAGGATTTTTATGCTCATCAAGCAAGGACACATGAACTAGCCGTGGGTAATCAAAATATTGTGTCTCCCTGTCAGAAGTGATTAGTTTAGGAATGGCTGTTAGCCAAGCCCAGCCAGTCATAGCAAATTTAGCACTTCAGTTTTACGAGTTGGACAGAGGCGTGCCTTTTCCCCAGGGTTTGCTGAAAGGTGCGCTCTGAGCCTGGAGCAGCTGGCTGCCACCCTGCGCTTTGCCCTCGGGAAGGGAGAGGCTGCCTGCAAGCTGCAGCACAGGGCAGAAGCACCGAAGCCAGAGAGATGGGGCAAATAGTGGCTTAGTCGGGTCACGTACTTTGAGCCTTTGGATCCAGCCGAGGCCAAAGCTAGGCTTATCCTCTGGGTGTGACTAACAAATACCTTTTTACTTAAGTTAGTTTGGGTTTGGTTTTCTGTCACAGGCAATCAGAAACATTTGGCTAAAAAATATAATCTTAAAAATAATCAACACTCATGATCAGCGAGGGGTTGACTTCCATGAATCTCGGCTTCCCACAGCCAGGGCTCTTGCGAATGATTTTCCATGGAGTGGGAGGCAACCCTTTCACGGCCTTCATTCACTCAGAAAATCAAGGGCAAGCAAGCGCTTGCCTAATTGTTTCTTTGATCAGTTGGTTCTAGCAGAATCCAGCTAGACTTTTTGCAAAAATCTCCACAGACTCTGGCTTTGGCCTAGGCCTCTTCCTGCCGTACTGGCAAATGGCCTGTTGTGTACAGTGAAACTCCCTGACAGCCAACAAGTATTTGCTGCAGGTTTCAAGGGTCATATCTCCTGATTTTCTCTTAGTTGCTGTATTTCTTGTTCCAAACTCCCAGGGTTAGTTTAATATAAAAAAGAACTTAGATTTCTTTAATCTTCCTGTGCCTTGGTTTAAAATCCACAAATAAAAGACCTGCCTAGCTGATAATATATAATAATGCTTTTTAGTTATACTTAGAGTGTTTTTATGTTTACAATCTCATTTGATCTTCCTAATACTCTTTTGGTGTAGGTATTGCCCGTGAGATCTTTAAAATCCTTAATTCTATGTTTCTGTGTTTACAAATAGAGGAAACATGTTTAATACTTTCTGAAGAACATGAGCATTTAAAAGGAGTGATCAAAGTATATGGTGAGTGATTAAGTGAAAAAAATTATTACAGTAAGAGACACACTGCCATTAACCCATAAAATACTCCCTCTTGCTTAGAATACACTTATCCCTTATTCTTACTTCTTTCCAGCAGTCTGGAAGTCCTCTTTTGTGAATGTATTTGCTATTTTCTTTTTTTCGGTACTGGGAATCGAACTCAGGGCCTCACGCTTGCCAGGCAGGCGCTGCACCGCTGAGCTACATCCCCAGCCCCTTGTGAATGTATTTATAAGTTATAAAAAATATGGAAAGTGGCAGAAGGTAGACTCATAAAAACATTAAAATGTGTTCTCATCCACCTTATGCACCACATCTGGCACCATATGATTTCCAGCTTTTCATGGTCAAAATGACCACGACATGTAAAAATATTTAAATAAATTCAGGACATTGACGCAGCTATGACAGCCTATCTAGGACACTCATGAAAAAGAACTTCCAGAACTGCTTCAGAAAGAGGTAAGAATGATAAATATGTTTAAAGAGAGGGCAAATATTTTGAGGGAGATTAATGGCAATGTGTCTTGTACTGCAATATATTTTAAAAAATACTTTAAACATTGTATTTTTTGATCACATCTTGTATGTAAGAATCTGCAAAATTGTGATGACTAGAACAATTTGTAGAGGAAGATAAAACTCTCAAGCTGCCTCCCAATAATTTTAGCCATTAGGCAAAAGCAACTGAATGAACTTTAGAACTAGAACATACAAAGTCGAAGTAGAACCGTCGCAGTGATTCCCTGACTCTGTCAGTGGCTCTAGTCTCCTTTCTTTTACAAGTTAGACTTTCATAATCTGCATTAATCAGCAGTGTAAGTTTGGGGAAGAATAAAACATGTTTAATTACCTAAAAACAAACTCAGAAAAAAATATTAAGCCTCAAAACTGAAAAGATTTCTAGATGTCCTTGAAGCTCTGCTATCGCAGACAGAGTTACCAACGCTGAGAAGTACGAAGAACAAGAAGTTGGTATTCACAGAGATGGAGCAGTAGGCAGGGCGCAGGATGATAAACCATCTGAGAAGAGCCCTGGATGCAGGGTCCTGTCTTGGAAGGCCAACCAGCTGCAGAAGCAAGTACTTGGAGCAGCACCATGGTAAATCAACTGGCTCCTATGTCTTTCACGTTATTTGCCACAGCTCCTGAAATTTCACTTTGTGTCACCCTTGGTTTTGGATCTCAGGAGGTATTTAGCCTCAAAGCCCCTTAGCCCATTATTTATCAGCACTGGGAGACAATAGGTAGACTTTTGCTAATAAACAGGATAGGACGAAGCTAAATATCCTGAAAACAGGGAGTCAGGAGGCAGAATCCACACAAGGTGGGGAAAGGTGGTCAAGTGACATCTGCAGGCCTCAAATTCACTCCGCAGTCTGCTTAGAGCGACCTCAGGGACAATCAGCTTTGCCACAAAAGCTGCGCAAAAACTCTGCAAAACTCTTTCCTTTTTCTACAGTTTTTTTTTGGGGGGGCGGTTGGAAGCAAGTTTATTACTTTCTAAATTTGTCTATACTCTCTTCTTTCAGTTACTCAGAAATTGTGCAATTTGCCTTCCACAAATATTCTTAAACTTCCCATGCATGTGTTTCTCCCAAATGAGCTACATTACCACGTCTAATAAAATTATTCTAGAACTGTTCATAAGTGACGTCAGGACTCGACCCATTTTTTTAAGGCTTATAGGACATAGGGACATATTGTTCTGCTAAAACCAGTGGATAGGGTCTGACTTATACCCTAACACAGTGAAAAAGTCCACCCCCAGATAAAAAGGTAGACAGTGATTATTTGCTTAATATGGAAAATTGTTTGAAAAGTACTTACCCCATTTGGATTGTTGACCCCAGAAATGAGGGTATGCAGTAATCAGCAGCCGCCAGTGTGTATGGCGGTCGAGCGGCAGAGTCATCCCAGTAGATGTCCTTCTTCATCTTAGGTAGGCTCATGTGCATTTCATCCACAGCTAAAAGAGAGACCTAAAATCATCGTCATATTGTTAGAATACTCAGATGTGATCAAAAAGAGAAGAATTTCCATTCGGCAGACAGGAGTCCGAGAGTGACAGGACGCAGTCTGAATGAGTAATTGTAGAAATAAATGCCTATCGCACACACTTGCTACAACCAGGGCTGCTGTGGAGTTGTACCTATTGTTCACTGCTCAAGAGACCTTGACAATGGTGAAAGTGGGGCTGGCGAGATGCCCACACCCCATGCATTAAGCCACACCCCCCAGTGTGGGCCTGCATCTCGCCTGGAGGCAGGTGAGGCCCCTTTTTGTTCTGTACTCACAGTTACAGTATTGTCTTAGTGGTTACCCTGACAGCAACCACTTACCCCCAGGACAGGAAGGTGAAGATTCTCATTATTTCATCCTGTTAATCCCATAAACACATTAATCACTTCTTGTATGCCCTAGTTTCTTGTTTATTTAAAAAAGCACATCATCCAATCCATACTGCTTGAATCTAGAGTGGTCTTTCCTCTTGGCTTTGACAAAGTGACACAGGAATAAGTTAATTCTTTCACACTCCAGTTTTGACAGAGTGAGTCATCAAGGCATCACCCTTACTCCCTGAAAGGCTGACGGTGTGATACACAGTGAACTGTTTGAACCTACAGCAAATGGAAGGTGAAAGCCCTGCTCAGATGTGGTACCCAGGTGGGAGTGGTGTGGGGACAGTCTTCACCAAGGGAAAATTCCCATCTGCCATGGGAAGCTCAAAGGAGTAGTGCTCTGGGGCATTTCAGGCAGATTTGAGAAAATGTCCAATGTGGCCCACACCCAGTGTCCAGCTGCTGGACATCTGATTGCTAGACTTTATGTGCTGTGAGCTTAGGAATTCACATCAGATTATATTTGGAGCCATTTTTTTTTTTTTTTTTTTTGGTTTTTTGGTTTTTCTCCGGTACCGGGAACCGAACTCACGACCTTGCGCTTGCCAGGCAGGAGCTTTTGCTGCTGAGCTAAATCCCCAGCCCCTATTTGGAGCCATTTTATGTCACATAAACCTCTGTGGGTGGCAACAGGAAACAGATAAAATAATGAGCTAAAATATTGCACTGTCCTAGAAGGAAGAGGCCAGTAAAGATAATTGAGAAAGTTAAAGAGAAAACTGACTTGAGATTCTACTTAAATTTTATGGGGACTAATATCCAGGACATGTGGGTTTTCCAAGAAGATGACAAACCTGCTACAAAGTCAACCCTCTTTCACTTGCGCTAAAAGCTCTGATGCCCACAGCCTGTACCCACAGTCTGTTCAGACTGGAAACATCACAACTAGTTTACTGCTAATGTTTGTAAAGGAGAGAAAATGTCCTCTAACCTGCAAATTTCTATCAATGCACCAGTTAGTTTCAAAATCATCGTCATCTTCTCCAAAAGGGTTGATAAGTTGCTCAGCTACCTGCAGTTGAGAACACAAAACAAATGGTCATGCTGGCAGTAAGACTAAACAGAGACTGAGGAGAACTGTTGTTTTATTCTCTTTTTTGGGTGTCGCCTTCACAGTACAAAGACTAGAGGAGGGTGTGCTGTTCTACAGACAGATACTGATTAGATACTGAGTTTGGGCTTTCACTATAAATGATGCCCAGATGCTAAGACAAAGCTAAAGAGTAAAGAAAGACTTAAGTCACAGTTCACATAAGAAAACATAAGGTGATTTTACAATGATTAGATATAACTGCTAAGTTAATGAGTCAGAGCTAGTGCGTTATCAAGCTGGAATTCGAGGCTTACTTAGTTTTATGTTAAAGGATTCAATTTTATCCAGTTTAGTTTTTCTGGGAAAGGTTTAGGTAGCTTCTTATCACACATTTGTATTTTAAAATCTTTTACACACTTTTCATATATTTGGTCAATAGTAAATGATCTTACTATGCTCTTGAATTAAATAATCTTTTTGATGAGAGCGTTTTATGTAAACTTGTTATCCTGTCATTCACTTTTTTGGATAATTTCCTTTAATTTTTATAGTCTCTGTATCTGTGTATGTGTGTGGGTGCACTTGAGTGAGTAAGAGAGTTTACATTAGATCTACAGGGAAAAAATTTTATAGATTAGATTTGTACAGAATAAGGATCATTTGAATGGTTCCCAAGTTATAGGCTCTGAGGTAATTTGGTAGAAACTATACCCACTGGCTTTTAGGATTTAAGTCAAATCCCTTAAAGCAGTTATTTTCAACCTTGGCTGTCCCTGAAAGTCATTTGGGAAGCTCTTGAAAAAACTAACAGCCAAAAACCAGACACCTGGGCCCCTTCTCAAGTGGTTCTGCTTTAATCCGTGGAAGCTGAGCCGCACATTAGTAATTAGGTAAAGGTTTCAGCAGATTTTAAAGTGTGGCCTGAGTTGCCAGCCACCGGGAGAGACAGGGACTTCTGCTTGTTCTGTGCCCTGAAGCAGTGAGCCCCAAGGGCATAGTCCTTTACTGTGAGTTGCAAAGAACTTTCTTTGTTTCTTTTTTTTTTTTTTTTTTGGCCTGGGGTTTTGCTTAAATTGAATGGGCTACAGTTGGGTCCTGAAAACCTTTTTGTTATATCTAAATTTTCACTTTTATGATCATGAATCTTATATATATTATTCTACTCTATACTCAGTTATTAAAATGACACCTACATTTGTGAATTGACAATCTCACAAAGACTGTAAAGCAAGTAACTAGTAGACTATTCAGAAAGTCAAAATGGTTCTGCCACACTTTGGAAAGATTTGTAAATACTGAACTGTCAAGCTAGAATAGCTTTTTAAAACTGAAGACACAGCTCACTGGTGTGGGAAAACTCACTTCTCTAAAATTATGCTGTCTCCTAATGGAGCTACAGCTGTGTTATACATATTTTACCTGTTAAAGTATTTTATAAAGGAAAAGGATATTAACATTTAGAAACATGCTGGAAGAAAGGACCAACAAACTATAACTAATGTTTTTGCATGTTGGCTTAGCAGCTTTTTTTTTTTTTTTTGGACTGAGCACCTTACACGGACACAAAGCAAATAATTAAAAGTTTAACACAGCTCAGAGAAGAGAGGGAAATAATTTGGGCCAACTGTGGTGATACTATTTTTCTAAAGGTAAAGTCTGCTTTTTCTTCTGGTGGGAAATGAGAGTCACTCGTCTGTCCTACTCTTTCTTGCTTTTGAGCAAAAATAATTAAGAATTACTGTCCTCTGGCTAAAAATGTTTCTGCTATTTGCAAAGGACAGACCTTTAGTCTTTGGAGTATAATTTAAGATGCCAACATACTTTTTTTCCTAATGAAGATTCAAACCGATGAAAGAAAGGGCTTCTGAAACAAACACGGTGCCTCCACCTGCAGCCAAGACAGCCCGTGGTTGTTTGCAAGGCCTCACATTTAAAAATTCTATTTTGTTAGCTGTCTTCAAACTGTCATTAGATTTCAATTAGTAAAGCCATGGACTCTGATTTTGTTCCCACTGTGTACTTCCCTTCTACAAGTTTACAGAAGCCATGGAAGAGTCAGGCTCCTGATATTTATACAAATACATCTGAGCTTGGGGTTGAGAGGGGAGCGAGGAGGTGGTGGCAGTGGGTGGGAAACAAAATTCTACCCCAATAACTGGATAAGCTGTTCTCAATGTTCTGACCTGTTTTTAAATGCCTGGCAAATCAAACATCATTATTAATCCTGGTGTTTTTGGTGTTGATTCTGATGAGTTCTTCTCTGAGTCCCAGTTTGTTTTTTTTTTCTTTTTGAGACAGGGTCTCGCTATACAGTTTAGGCTGGCCTTGAGCTCACTTTGTCACACAGGCTGGTCTCACACTCACAATGAACCTTCTGCCTCAGCCTCCCGAGTGCTGGGATTACAGGTGTGCACTGCCACACCTGAAATTTAGTTTTTTTTTTTTTTTGGTACAGGGAATCAAACTCAGGACCCTGTGCTTGCGGGGCAGATGCTTATGCCACTGAGCTCTCTCCCCAGCCCTTAGTTCTTATTTTGAAAATGGGATGCATTTGATGTGGGACAGCTAATAAGATTTCAGAGTACTGCAAGTAGTTATAAAAGAGTGTTCTTCTAACTTGCTTGCAGAATGAATGAACTGTTTAAGACTGATGCAATACAGTTTGACTACATCTTCGCCATTTTAATCCTTGATGGAAAAAAATTCACATTTTTGAGCTATTGCATGTTAAATCTACCTTTGCTCCCTCAAGAATGATTTGCTAAAGATCGGTCGGAATCAGCACGGAGAATTTAGAACACTATAGATTTCAGAGTGGGTCTCAGGCACTGAGACTGCTGACTACCTTCAGCCATCCTGCATAGAAGAAGAACTGTAGGAGAGTGAAGATTGGAATGTAAAGATCTAAGTCATGTCCTGCGTAGCCTTTGGTGGGATCCAAAAACTGGCGTCCAATCAGGCATGCAAAGAAGAAGGTGTAGACAGCAAGAGTGACAACCTGGAACAGAGAGAAACGAGTGAGTGGACAGTGCTGCTGCACTTAGGCAGCTAGAGTGCCAAGGTGGGCAAATGAAATAAAATATTAGAAAGCATCTGATACCTGGGTGTAAACCAGCGGGATTCCAACCCAGTCATAACCGAATAAGAGGCTGCACCAAGAGCGGTATCGATTCATTTCCTAACGCCGGAAACAGACACAGTAGGACTTATTGGAATGACGGGCATGGTAATAAATATTGACTGGGACTCAAGCAATGTCTAAAATGATGGGACAGACTTTGTAAGACTAGAGAACTAGCTCCCAAGACTACCACAAAAGCAAGTTCTAAAACTGACATGCAAGGAGCATCACTGAACAGTGTGTAAAAAAGCTGAGGACATGTGGACATGCATACAGTACTTTTAAAATATTAAGACTGGATGTTATAGAAATATCCTTTATTCTGTACAATCCACAATCACGAACATGAACATTAGCAGAAAGTGGTAATGGGAAGCCAACGGTTAAACTTTAAAAAGCAATTTCTAGCAATCTTAGAAGAAAAATTTGGAGAGCATTTTTTTTCTCTTTTAAGAACATGTTCACTATAGATCTTAAAAAAGAGCTATAGACACATTTTATACTCCTTCCCCCCACAAATGAGGGCTTTACTCATATCGACAGAAAATCTATCTCTGCTTGGAGTAGAAGGACTGAGATTCATTGATTTCTTTCCTCTATTGAATGTAATTATTATCTAAGACTGGGATGAAAAATTCACCTTAATTTGGGTGCTATTTTAAAATCATTTAGGCTTTTAGCCTAACTCAGGCAGGAGGCTATCATGGCACAAATATATGTAGTGTTCTTGTGAATATGTTTCTTAGATGGATTCAGCTCACCCTGCCTTGTTTTTGGTGCCAGGGATCAAACTCAGGGCAAACTCATGCCAGGCAAGTGTTCTACCACAGAGTTACATCCTCAGCTCCACTTCAGGCTTCATTTGTTTAGCAAAAACACTCTTTTGTTCACTGAATCAGCTGAAATGCTGACTTAAACTTGAGATATTCCAGTTTTCAGAAAATGGCTGGGGGGTTTCTTTCCTGTGGAGATTTTATTTTAGAATCCTGAAACCAGGGATGAAAAATATGTTGTGTGGGCGCAGTGTCCTTCAGAGCTCTTGGCAAGCTGTGGTTAATCAATAGAGGAATACTATTTGCAGAGCCTATTAAAGCATTCTGTATAAAACATGGCTTCCAAGCAACTACTATGAAACAATCTGCGTTCAACTTGTGCATTGTATCTTGCACATTGTGGGATCTGATACTAGCTTGATCTTTCTGTTCCTTTGGAACCAGAGTGAACAAAACAGGCTCTTCCTGGCCAGACCTGTCATATCCAGGTCTCTTGTGCAATACAGTTAACATCTTTTACTGATGGTGTATGATGTACTTACAGTCATCAATGATTGTAGATCAACACTGTCTCTGATTCTACCTTCATCCCGGGCTTTAGCTGCAAGATTTCCAAACCAGATGAATGGAACCCAATATTTCAGATGAGGAGATTTGTGATGGTCAAATAATTTCCTTTCATCTGCTGTCATAAAACCTTAAAATTAAAACAGCTAGATTATACAAACTTAGTTTAACACTGATATATTACCATATTTTCAGTATACTGTGGAAGCATATGGAGGGATACTAAAGAAATACAAATATAAAGGTTTCTGTCTCAAGTGGTTTATTCCCAGATTTTGATTCAATTGATTTAGAGTGAAGTCAGGTATCGGTGTTCTTTTGAATCCTCATGGGTGATTTAATGGAACTGGATCCTGGCAGTTGCATGCTGACTGAGCTCTGCAGGAAACTCTGACATACAGCAATGTTTTAAAAAAAAAAAAAAATCGCTGTCCTAACCAAGGAAGGTTTTGTTTATTTAGTATTTGAAATTAACAGAGAAACTATTGCAAAGCCAATGTTTGCCAATGGGAGTCTAGTTTAAGATTACACTCAGGTTAGCTATGCTCACTTAGAAGGGCTCTGCTCATGCTTGGAGAATTGTGCCCTCTATGGAGGTTAAAAAAAAGCTTGGTAATTAATTCGCTTCTTGCTTCTTAGTACAGCATAGTTGTATAATCTAGATAACCTGCTATTTTTTTTAATTTTTCAGAAAAGACTTTCAGGGTGTGATTAAATGTTATTTCAGGATGTTAACAGAAAAATAATTTAGAGAGCAAAATAAAAGGTAGATGATAGGAAATAGGTACACTTTGTGGAGATGAGAGGACATGGGTGGGGGGGAAGGGAAGTAAAATGATTAAGATGCATTATGCATATGTGCAAATCTCCCAAGATGAGTGTAGTTATCATGTATCACAAACATATACAGATAAAAAGTGTAAAAAAAAAAGAGAAGTTAACAGATGCATTTGACCTGTCTTGGCTTTATACCTAAAGACTTGCAGCCGTTCTTTAACTAGAAGCCTATTTGCAGATATTCTATATCAATTATCTAAATTACATTCTTAGGATTTATAGTGTAATTTCCAAAAATGATTCCACTATGTACTGCTTGCACTCTCTGTAATATGACCAAAGAATAACTTTGTCTCCAGTTATTTTTTATTCAAGAGCATGGATCAAATTGTGCTAGCAAATCCATTCTTGGCTTCTAAGTAGAAAGAAAATGTACAGAGTGAAGGCTTATTTAGCACAAATACTGATGCAAGAGTTAGGCTCTTCCTTCCCTCCATGGAGGACATCACCCCCCACCCACCCTGGGTACCAGGCATTGAGCACAGGCCTCAGACATGCTAAGCAAGTGCTCTGTCACTGAGCTACATCTCCACCCTCTAATGAATTTTATTTTGAGAGAGAGCCTCACTAAGTTGCTTAGGCAGACTTTGAATTTATAGTTCTCCTGCCTCAGCTTCTTGTGTAGCTGAGATTGTAGGTGTGCACCTCTTTGCCTGGCTAGGACATCTATTGATTGGAACAAGCAGCAGAGGGAAGGAAGCTGGTAAGTTTTCAGCATGAATTTATTGAAGGATTTCTAGTTGCTGTGAAAGACAGATGATGGATCAGGTATCACTCTACCCTCTAGGAGTGTACAGGCAGAATAACTTTTGTCATTCCCTGCAGGGTCACATATTTTATCCAAAGTAACCTCATCTTTGGAAATCAAATTACATGGGTATTTGAAAGAAAATGCCTAGATTGCTGGCCAAATCTATTCAAAGAGCATTTTTCATGAAACAGAATGTGTCCTCATCAGCACTTCAAGTAATATTAACCGAAGACCAATATTTTTTTCAGAATTGGGTCGTTAACCCAGCGTTAAGGCTATGTTAATCACAGTTATTGATGTGCTGCAGTTTGATAGTGCCATCAGTTAGCGGCTAGCCCACCAACGCGTCTTCTTCAAACGTCTGTCCCCACGCTATGCTCCTTTGGGTACATCATCCCCATGTCTGGCATGGCTATTTTGTTCTGCTATCGCATATGCCTAGAATTTTTCTTGCCATCTCTTCCTTCTGGCAGGCTCAGCTCTGCTCAGCAATTTTCAGATTGCTTTTCCCCAGAAATATCTTCTTTACTATTTCTAATCAGAGTAAAACTTCTATATCTGTCAATACAAATATATGTTTGCATTGACTTGCAACGTGCGTTATGGTTTGATGGAGTAGGATCTGCTACTAGACCGCAAAATTTTACTGCCCTCAAGCCAAAGGATGAATTAATTCTATTGACAAACACATTCTGGTCATCGTAGATTATATCTTCTGTACAGTTGCCCCATCTTTTCTTGCTTGAAGCTGAGGCAGGTGCTTCTGCCTTTCAAGCATAGAATCAAGTGAGGCCCTATTTACAGGACTGAAATATCTGTGTCTCAAAATTTAAAGGCAGGATGGGTTTGATGCCAGTTCTTTCTGAAAAAGAAAGTTGTGCATTCAGCAAATGAGTCCTTCTTGGAGGAGGGATAACTTTCTCAGGAAGACTGCAGCGTGCCTGCCTCATTTCCATCTCTGTGTTTTCTGCATGCACTCAGCAAAGCGACCCTTCAACTGAACCTGTCCTTTAAATGTAGTGGGAGAGGCTCAGACATCCCTGTCAACTGGACAAATCAAGGAGAGGCAAATGAGGTTGGGAGAAGGATGGAATCCCATTATGACGCATTATGCGAATGTGCCCGTGCCTGGAATTTCATTTGCCCTGAGTGCACAGATCTGAGGCACTTTGCAGATAAAATTGGAGGGATTAATTGATATGCCCTCGGGCAGTGGCTCCTAAACTTTGCTGCACTTCAGAATGGTACTGTAACCCAATGTCTCAGGGAGGCAGACAGATACAACTATTTTAAAACTATCCTCGGTGAGTGATTACAATGCGTGGCAGAGTTTGGGAAAAACTGGCCCCATCTTGGGCATTTCAAAATTCTTAGTTTGAGCCAAACATCCTGCAGGGCTTCTAGGGAGCTTGTTTAAAGGTGTGCTCCTTAGTTCTTAAACCTCAATGTCTACAGTTCCCTAGGCTGCCTGGGAACCTACAGCTTACCTACAGATACCCTTGATAATTCAGTGATTATGATCTGCAGTCATACTTTCAGAAACACTGAGATGGAAAGATTTAAATTCATAAAACAGAACTGTGGGGAGACTTCAGACACTGGAGACTGTCTAGCTGTCGCGTTAACTCAAGGGGACTGGTACTGCTTTGCACTTTCTCTCCTGTGCAGAGCAAGTGCACATAGGTGAATCAAGTTTCACTCACAAGATGACATTCTGTCTGTTCCGGGCTCATCATGTGAGACTGCAGGGGAACTGACTCAGCCTCTGAAAGTTCAGCCAGCAGGAAAAGCTGGCACAGCTGTGAATTCCACTGTCTCCTTGGCCATTTCTCCCGTAACACAGGACAGTTGGAGATTTTGAGACTAAGGAGCCCTAGAGCCACGGGAGGCCTCAGGAAAAGCCATGGCAGACCTCAGGGAAGAAATGTTATACAGAATTCAATTGATTTTACTTAGAGAGAGAAAAGACGATCACCGATGAAATGCTCGGTCTATGCCAGAAACTCACATAAAGCTCACCTTCCAGGCAGTGCATCTAAAGTCAGAACTTGTAACTGAACAACCATTTGACAGCTGGGGGTCACTTGGCTGCGTTGATGTCTACTAACCGTCAGAGTCACTGAAGTTCAATGGCATCTTGTCACTCCCTTTAGTTATGGAACAAGTTCATGGAACTTCATGTTAAGATTGCCAGGGTTTAGGAAAAGTAAAGAGCACTTTATCCCTAAATTTACTGACTCTTATGAGTGGTTATTTTATATATATATGTTACATATATAATTATATATATATAATTTCCTATTATCTTTGTGATCCTGATAAGTAATTATGAAGAGAATGATTTTTTTCTCTTGATGCCTATGAAATATTCCAGGACTTTTCAGCATAACAGACATTATTTCCAATTTAATTGTTATATTTTTATTTTAATATAAGCAGAAAAACTTTAATTTTAATTTGAGAAATTGAACCTGTAACATCAAAATCCAGGTATATATATGAACATACGAATGGCAGTGTGTGTTGCGGTCTTTTACTTGCCACAATAATATAACTTGACTGCTGACATGAAAACAAGGGAAGTTTGGGGACTAGCACGTAAGTGGCCTGGCTTGTCTCCCTCTAACCGAGGAGTTGCTGGTGCTTTAGAGGAGCTACTGGTCTTCATTCTCCCCGCCCTCTCCCTTCCTTCCTCCTGGCCAGCACCTAATCTATACAGGCACAAGCCTTCTCTGAAGCGGGAGGGAGAAGAGGGTGGAGAGATATTCAGTTGCTTTAAGGCCATTGTTTTCCTGGGTGTGCTCCAGTGACCATCTGCCTGGTTACTGGAACTGGTTAAATATACTGTTTCCTGGACTCCGTGCCTGACCCCCTGAATCAGAATCTCTTCAGAGTAGCATCTGGAGATCTGCATTTGTTAGTTCTGTTGATTGGCTTAAACATCTAATGCACGCTGAAGATTGTGAATATGGACTTTTCCACACAGGTGGATTTATGTGAAGGAGTCAAATGACAAGGCTTTTTGTGCCTCCAGCATTGCCCTACTCAGTGGTATTTACCACATCTCCCTGCTCTCAAGCAAGAGCGGGTGCCCTGCCCCAGACTCAGGGCATTCGCCATGCAGTTTCCACCATTCCTGAACTTCCTATTCTTCCCAACAACTCCGGCACAGGCAAAGGGCCTCCAGGGAGTAGTGGAGGCAAATGCCCAACTGGAAGAGCTTAGAAACGGACTCAGTGCAGACTCAGTCAGCCCTCTCTGCGGGAAGAAGCAGAGAGTTCGGTGAGTCAGCGCTGCCCTGGACAGAAGGAGCAGGCCCTGGGGCGGCTGAGAAAGGCCCCGCCTCTGAAGCAGCTCTCCCTGTTTAGAAGATAGTGGCTCTAGCTTTTGTTCTGCTGGCTAACATACAAAACTTATACTCTTGTGGATGCAAGCTATGCCCACTACCCTTTTCCTGCGTTTTGAGAAAACACCAGGAATTAAAGAAAGTGCTGGGGCCAAGACATGGTGGCGCAAGCTTATAATCCCAGCACTCGGGAGGCTGAGGCAGGAGGATCACTGTGAGTTCAAAGCCAGCTTGGGCTACAAAGTGAATTCAAGGCCAGCCTCTACTGCATGATGAAATACTGTCTCAAAAAGAAAAAAAAAAGTGCTAAGGCCTTTTACACAGGTAACCAGGGATGGTCTCACAGCATGCGTGGATAGGCTTGGGCTTCATCAGATTTCCCCAGTGCTCTTCCGAAATACACCAACCCAAAATTTTGTCAGAACAATGCTGGTTATGTGAAAGTGGCACTACTTCAACTCTTCTGGCCAGAATGCTATCAAAAGCCGCCCTTTATAATTCTGGAGCAACTGCTGAAAGTCTTGAATCTACTTTCTTAATTGCTGCTACTTGTTGTTAGTTATGAGCTAGTGGTTGCCAAAGCCTTTACTCCAGAGGCAAGAAAAGGACTTTAAAAAATAAATATCCCAGTGGTGACACGTCTATAATTCCAGCACTCTGGAAGGCTGAGGCAGGAGGATTCCAAGTTTGAGCCCAGCCTGTGAAATTTAGCAACCGATGAGACCTTCTCTCAAAACAAAAAGATAAAAATGGTCTAGAGATGTAGCCCAGTGCAAAATTTTTGGGTTCAGTGCCCAGTGCTGCAACAAACAAACGCACAAACACCCAGAAAAGATCCAGTACCCCCCAGCTTCACTGCATACAAAATGACAGGGAAGCATGTTTTACTGCAGGTGCCTGAGCTACATCCACAGATTCTGATTCAGCAGACCTGAAGTGGGGTCCAGGAATACACATTTAAAATAAATAACTGAAGTTAGTCAAGACGTGGAGGCCTGTGGGTCTGTGGATCACACCTCAGAGACACACAAGTTCAGATGCATGTCAAGGAGCAATCAGCGCTTTTCCAGATCCCCCTGCAGTGCGGGGCGTTGGTTTGGGGAGAGCGGCACTCCAACACTCCAGATGCTTTCGGGAGAGAACAACCTGGAAGCAGGTGCGCGCAAATGTCCGCATGGGTCTGATGCGGAAGAGGCCTCTGTATCATGAAAAGCACGCTCAAAGGGAACAAAATCATCTCATTCTCCAGCCTCGCTCCCTTTCTACCTGCCCCTTGGCCCTCACGCCACGTCAGCCCTCTGTACTCGTGTCGGACTAAAGGCCCCACAGTCTCTCCGCTGCCGCCCATCCTGGCTTCCTCCCCGTGTGCTTTTAATATGGAAGGGACATGAGGCTACGATTTGCTTTGAGAACAGGGCCTCATATATGACTCCTGTCATTCCAAGGATGTGTCAGAACCAGAGAAATATCTCTTCTGTTCATCCCCTCTAGTCACCTAAGCAAGCTTCGATTCTCACTCATCAATTTGGTCTTTTTTTTTTTTGGTACTGGGAATTGAACTCAATTTTTTTTGTCTTTTCGAGACAGGGTCTCGCTATGCAGTTCAGGCTGCCCTTGAGCTCACTTTGTAGCCCAGGCTGGCCTCGGCTCACAACAATCTTCCTGCCTCAGCCTCCCAAGTGCTGGGATTACAGGCGTGCACCACCACGCCTGGCTCACTCATCAATTTGGATGTATCACGTTCTTCTTGTTTGTTTTTCGGTCTTTCTTTAGAAGCAGCAGTTCTTAAAATATTTGATTCTTTAGACATTATGGGAAGAAAATTTAGTTGTTAGGTAGTATTTTTAACTTGGTTATTCTGAAGCAGTATTCTACTTTTAAATTTAGAGGACAGATGGCAGTTAATGTTTGTGTCGTTCCTGTAGTTTTTACATCGTGATACGCCTGTGCACTTGCCGGGCCATTCATACCTTCCACCTGAATCCTTAACCAACAGGACCCAAACCCCAAGACTTTCTCATACCCTGCTACAGACCCCCTAACTGCAGTGTAGACACCACTCCTTCCTTATTTCCACCTGCCCTTCACAACTTCCTGATCAAGGTAGATCAAGGAGACTTGGAATGTCATATCCACAATGAATCTTCTAAAGCGGTCAAAGTGCTCTATGATGCTGGTGTTTCAGATGACTTCTAAGCAGCAAGAAATTACATAGCACTTACCAGGTGCCAAGAATTGCTCTGCATTATTTTGCAAATATTTTTTGTTTTGTTTTGTTTGGCTTTTTGTGGCAGGGTTTCATTATGCAGTTCAGGTTGGCCTTGAACTCACTTTGTAGCCATGGCTAGTCTTGAACTCACAGCAATCCTCCTGCCTCAGCCTCTCCAGTGCTGGGAATATAGGCATGCACCACCATGTCCGGCTTATTTTGCAAATATTAACTTATTGAACTTTCATAATAAGCCTATTAGGTATAGAGGGTAAGTCCTATTATAAGTTACTATAAAGCCATTTTATGGGTGAGGAAAATGAAGTGAATTAACTCACATGAGGTCATACAGCAAGTAAATGTTAAAGGAGTCAAACTCTTAGTGCTCTTAGCTATTCTCTATGTACCCATGTAAGGTGAAAGAACAGACAACAAGAAAGCCACAGAAAACTCCAAAAGCAAACAAATATTTTTTAACAACAGCAACTATTTTCAAAGACATTTCAGAAAAAGAAACTGGGGATTCCTATCTAATTTGAAACTGTATTAAACATAAAGGCAAAATCATCTAATGGTTCTTATATTATCTATATGTGTGAAGAATTACCTCATTTCATCCCCACCCTACTGAAGGCTTCGCTGCTAAATATTTACATACCAAAGAGAACTGTAATTCAAACAGTTTATTCTGAGCACTCTGAGTGCAGGAACCCAGGGAAAATAAGTAGGTTATCGATCTTGATGCGCTGGGGAGATGACAGATCCACACTGAAACAGCCTTTTACTGTCACCTCTCAGGGCTGCTCAGAGGAAAAGCAACTTTGCTGACTTCTACCAGAATCTTCTTATGCTTTGAGAAAAGCATTAATGTAGGAGTTCCAAGCCTAAATTTTAATCTTATGTCTATAGCTAATGAGCTGTGTGATTCAGGACAGGTTGTAATATCTCCAAATCAGTTTTCTTGAGGTCCAAATGAACTAGTCACAAGATAATCTGTAAAGTATTGGAAAACTGTAAGGTAATATTATAGGTTGCTTTAATATGACCATTATAATTACATGCTCTTAAGGCAATGTGACTATCTGCTGAGGGCAGGCACCATATTTTATTTATCTTTGCCTCTCAAGGATGCTTCTGGCACATAGTAGGTGACCAAGGAATGTTTCTTGAGTGAGTGAATAAATATGAGATCTTCAAAAGAATTTTGGAGGTCCACATGTCAGTTGAGAAGACCCCATGGAAGGAAAAGCCATTCACAGTACCTGCTTCAACCACGTGGTCCATTGTTGGAAACCTTTTGTACACAGCTGTGCTGACCGAGCGGAAGATGAGCAGGGATGTGAGGTTGACGTAGCGCATCAGAGTCCTTCTGAGCAGGCGCCCATGCTGGTCGCGTCCATGCACACTGCTGGAGATGAGGAACATCAGCCTGTCCGGCCAGGGCAGATTGACAAACTGGTTCCACCATCGGTTTACTACCAGAGTAACATAAAATCCTGCAGAATATAGGACATTATAAGAAATTTCTTATAATAGACACACTGGTCACACTGATTTTTTAAGCAGAATTTTAGCCTCTTTAGGAGTTGGAGGATATAAAAATGTATTAATATCCATACCTTAAGATTTTGCCCTCAAGAAAGAAAAAAAAGTCTTTTGTGCCTGGCTCTGCCAAACACCCGGCAAGTGGGTTTTAGAACTCACATATTAACTAAAAAATGGAGAGTTAGTGAAGATAAAGCTTACTTGTCCAAGAGCAGATTATTACCTCAAACTTGTTTGGTGTTAATTTAGCAAAAGCAGCCCAGAAGGCAAGACACTTTATGGTTGATTCTGTTCCACTGCAAGCGAGGCTTTTCAGGCATGCCTTTCAGCTTGGAAGCACTCCCATGCAGAGTCACTGGTGCCACCCTAACAGAGGCAGCTATGTGGTTGCATTCTGTGTGTGACCTGTACTTACCAAGCACAAAGGTTACTGGAATTTGTTCAGCATATCTGTCACAGTAAATTGATAATTTTTCAAAGTAACGTTTTTGGGCTCCTGTAAGTAACAATCTGGAGCAAAAATAAAATGCACAGCCCTTTATGATATGATACTTCTGCACCTGCACTGCAGGTGACACAAGTGCAAACAATGAATCACATATAACGTTGTGTTTTTTTTTGTTTGTTTGTTTTAAGGAGAAATAACTTTTTTCCTTTTTCCAAAAGCTTAAGTGCCTTAAAAGCTTTTTACTTGCTTAATGTTTCAAGTGCTGAAGTTTTTGCACGCAAATGTTACTGACCATTAAATACAGTGGTACCTCAGTTCACGAACTTCATTTGTTCTGCAATTTTGGAAAAGGTGGCCATGTTTGTGTTCTGGTGGGAAAGATAGCTGCAGTGGTGTTTGTCACCTGATGTAGAGTTTGCCCACAAAAACCAAAATTTTACCAAATGCTTTTGTTTATGAACAAATAAAAGTGTTTGTGAACTGAAGTACCACTGTAGTGGGATTTGTTAGTCATTTTATTTTTAAAACTTTATATTTTTTAAGTGTTGTATAATTGTTTTATTGGATTTGGATATATGTTATAAAATAATCCAGATATGTTATACAACAAGATATGTTATAAAATAATCCATTCTCAGTTATTACTCAGGAATACTCAAAAATGAGAGTACTGATTAAATGTCACAGAGTTAAGTCATTGTTAAATAATAACATTTGATGGCTTACTTTCTCCTGAATATGCCATTAGCACATTTGATTTATACATGCTGTACTTCAGAAGATATTATAATTATTTAAAATCCCATAGTTATTTGAAATATAAAACAAATCTCACAATTAGAGGTGAAAAATTTTATTTTTACATTTAGTCACTGCATAAAATGTTTATTATAGATCTGACTCAACCTACCCAAACCTATGTTTTGGTATTGTTAAACAAAATTGCATTTCATGAGCCATCCTTGAAATTGGTGTGGTAGGGTGAGATTCAGAGTCAGAAGTGATGTTTAAAGGCATGTTCACAGTAGTGATCAAAATGTGGAAGCTGCACACATGAATTTGCATAAATCAATGAGTGCCGCTGTTTCAAAGATGGAAGAACCAGAGGAAAAATCCATTATAACAAGCATTAAAGGCCCCTTTGGTGAGTAGAACTTTGCTAGTGGAAGCACAGGGGCACTGAGGGAACAGTGAGCAACAATCATACTGCAGGTGGGGTCCTGTTGGGAGCTAGCACTGACGAACAAAATGTTTGGTGTACACGGTGAGCTTGGGGTTCCTACCCCAGCTTTGGAGGAGGCGTCAGTTACTAAAGTTAGGAAAAGATGACAAAAGAGGCACAACTGGTTACACAGGCCTAGCAGGGTCATGTCAGTGGCAGGTCACGGCCAGAATAGTTTTCTAATATGTAAATCAAAATGACCAAAAAAGACTTAATGTGGAAAGTGTAGCTCTTAGGTTCAGGACAAGCCAGATTTTAATTTCAGATCTACCTCTTACTGGTTTGGACTTTGAGCATATTTTCAAATCTATCTGAACCTCAGTTTTTTCATCTGTAAGTGGGGATAATAGTAACTATACAGTAAGGATGTTATAAGAAATAAAGGATTAATAATATCATACCTTTGAAATGACATTATGGCCTCATACTTAACAATCATCTGGTTGGTATTATTACTAGTTGGCTAAAGAAAAATATTTAGATAAGAGACACAGAAGTGTTAACAGCTAGAAAGTACTAAAGAGATTATTTTATCAAATTTCTTTAAAAGTAGGAAAAGGCATAATCAATTTAGTGAATTGTTGTTCTGCCTTATGATTTTTCTTAAACATAATTATTTGCTTATAGTAGGATTAATAAAAAAATCAGGTCATTAAGTAGACATGGGAATAAAACTATGTTTATATTTTTCCATAGGTACATTTGACTTAAACAAATTCATTCTGTAGGTCTTGGTAAACCTTTGATCAAGATAAAAAGGATCTACTTTAACAAGATTTTACAGTTGAACTTTTAAAAATACAGGATAATTTGAACTGATGATTATTGTTGGTAAGCACTCTTTTGTCTCTGGAAAAAATATAGCATACAATTTGGGAGAGGGAGCTTAGAAATAGGATCTTGGAGTAAAAATTGAGATACCAAGGAGCATTTCTGGCTACATCATAACTGGTCTAAGGAATATTCTATTCTAAGCAGCAGTAGCAGCAATAAACTCATATTAGTAAAAATAAACTAATGAGATAATTATCTTGGAAGGTCATTGTGTCTTCCACCCTTTCATATTCTGAAGGCATAGGTGACATGCAAATAAATAGTATCAAATTATATAAGACATATCTGAAAAATTATTAGTAATTTTTAATAAAGATATTTTGCCTCTAAAGATATTTTGCCAAAATGCATATCAATATGTATATTTAATTGGAATGGCAGTTTTGATGTGTAGGAAAATAGTTCTTTCCACTTTATTTTTGATGATTATCCGCCCCTTAAATTAGTATCTCTGTCCTCCAAATGGAGTCCTGTTGCTGCAGGGAGGAACGTAGGTAAGAGCAATGATATACAAATTTGTTCATTTGTATGCATGTAGAAAAGGTATAAATACAGCCTCAAAAACCTTTAGCTTTCCTGTTTTAAGTTTTAGCTTCCTGCAGAGAAGAAATATATGCTTTCATATATGCAAAAAAGCTCGTAAAGCCTCCCTTTGATCATACTGATAAAATTTTATTAAGACTATAATTTTTAGTTGTAAAAATATTTCTTGGACATGATATTGTTCAAATTTTCTATCAGTCTGACAGACACAGGTTGTGAATATGCCTCCTTGTCTGAATATAACGTGTCCTGAAATCGAAAATATAAAGAAATAAATTAGCCTTCAGGTTTTCATTCCTTACTTGGGGCTCTGGTATGGTTGGAGGGCACCATCCTGGATACGAGGTCATCCTTCCAGTCAGAGGAAGGAAAGTTGTCTGATACCTGACATTCATGAACGTAATTACATATGTAGTTGCACCCAGCTGTCAAATCACAGATTCAACCCATGTATAACAGCTGGGGAAGTACAAATAATTACTTGTTTGTGGACTTTCCCTATTCAAAATCACGACATAATAAGGTTCTAAATAAAAACCATCCAATTTATGCCTATAGCATTGCCTTAAAGTGACTAATACTGCCTCATGATCAGTTAACTTGGGGCTGGAGTGAGAACCCTTGAACCCAAGAGTTATAGCCGATTTAATACCCTATAGAATGGTTAGGTGTGGATTAAAATCCCCATCCTGCAGAGAAGACCCCAGAGAGTTCATGCAAAGGAAGAGGTAACATAATGCAAAAGTCAGCAGCAACCAAAGGGTTCCAGATTTTTGAGACTGTATTCTTACATACTATTTGATGGCCACTGAAGGAGACATGCAAAGCAAAGTACCTGTACACCAAACTTATTGCTGTGTAAAGAACAGCAAAAACAATAAATTCCCTGTACAGTAGTTTGTAGATGCTGCCTCTCCACTTGAGGAGTAACCTATGAAATCCAAAAAAAGTCGCATTTGCTACTTTACTGGAGTAAGTGACAGTCATCTTGGATAGTTTTTTTTCTAGAAGAGTAAGAAGACAAAACACAAGTAAAAAGTCATGTTTAAGATAGGGCATAAATAAATCTGTATATCAAAGGAAACCCAGGCCGGTAATCAATCAGCCATCTCCTTTCTCAATTTGTACACTTCGAACTTGGGGAAAACCATCTCAGTGTTAGAGGTCTTAGCAGAGAAAAGGAAGGACAGGAGTCTCTGGGATGAGTGATGTTAGAAACTTTAAAATTGCCTGAATAAATATTATTTCAGACTGAGTAGCCACTGCTCAAAAAATAAATAAATGAGACATAAATATATGTTGTAAAGTCACCTATCATGTTTTCTTAATCCACAGGAGGATTTAGGGTACTGATATGCTAAAGTAATTGATATTTTCAAGAGCAATGTCCAAATAATAAGTTTGCTAAAGTATTGTTAGCACCTTTGAAACTCCTAAGGGGAAGTTGTGGCTGTCATCCTAGAAACTGGGTATTGTTGGACAGAAGCCAGGCCCTTGTGAGAATTTAACTGGCGGGTTACTGTCGGGGGTTACAGTTGTTCAGTTGGGGGTTATAGTTGTATTGCTGGGGGTGTCTCTCTGGAAGTGCTCTTGGTGCAGAGTTAGCTCTCTGTACCCTTCAAGAGGCAGCCCAAATGTTGGCAACAGTGATTATTTTAAAAGTGCAATTTTTCTATGAAAACGTTCATTAAAATGCTTGCAGGTGGTTGACTTTCTGATTGGAACTGAATAAAATGAGGTTATTTCTTAGGACTTTCTACTTGGATCTGTTCCATGGGTGTGGATAGGAGGAAAATGGCACCCTAACGCTTAGTTTTTGGTTAGTTCTTTGAAATTCCACTGCTTTTCCCTGAGGTGCTAAATGTTCAGTGTTTGAGATGTATGGCCCAAAGCGAACCTTTAGAAATCCTGCTCTACTCTTGGCTAACATGGATCATATGCAGATAAAGTAAGATTTTTCTGAAATCTTGGTTTTCTTAAAAGGATTTGTGAGCTTTTACGTAGAATTGTTGTAGTCATAAAAAATAAATTCTGTAACAGATTTCTCATAAAGTAACGTATATCACACACTTTACAATACACAAGAAAACTTTGTCTTTATTCCTACCCAGAAAAACAATCCAATTCCAATTTATACATTTTCTTTGAGGAAATGAATCTCTGGGATTTACATTCATAGCATTTTTTTTAAATCACAAAAACTGTCTCCAACATTACTGATGTTCATAAAGAAACCAGGACCCGTTGCATAAGTAAATGACATTACAAAAGAATGCGACTCAAGCCACAGACCAGTTTCATTTCTTCGTCTCTACCTTGTCTATTTGTCTAACGTGAACACAGCCAACACTGGAACGGGAGCATAATAAATTAAACCCATTTCATAATTTGTTCTCAGAGGCATGGCAGTTTAAATAACAGGCCTCAAGTAACTTTCTTTCATTTAATCACTCACCCTTCTGTTTAGCCTCTGTCAGAAATACTAACATCACATAGAGTAGAGGTCAGGGTTAAAATGCATAGATTTGCTCTGTGCACTAACCTATTTACTTGGAGTCTCCGAAAGCAAAGACAATCTTCAAATTTCAGGCTCCCCTTGAAGAGGTGCCTTCAGGTCGCTGTTGCACTCTCAGTTTCACCCTTCCTTCATGGACAGTCAGATTTTCTTTCTGTTCTCTGGCTACTGTGCGGACCCAGAGCATAAGAAGCACGGGGGTTGGATGTTTTTCCACTTGTGGAGGCCTGTTTATGCCAATTTGCCCACTGATGACAGTTATAGCTGGGAACAAACAGAAGCGACAGCTGCTGATGTTGCTTTTTTCTAATCTATAATTATAACTCCACCTGCCACTCAAAGTACCCCTTTGAATGAAGAGTTAAAGGATGTTGGGTCATTTAAATCTGTTAGATTCATTTCAATTTCATCCTGGGACCAACGAAGAAAGGTCCCTTTACCCCTAAAGAATTCTGAAGTGATCCCACCAGCCAAAGAAGAGAATTAGGATACTCTTTCTGTGACTGAAATGAAGAACATATTTTTATGAAGCCATGAACTGGGGCAGACACGAATATAAACAGGACTTTCATTCATTTGAGAGGTATTGAGATTGCTCTTCTACTAAAAGCAATAAATCGTGTTTTAGAGAGCGTGTGTGTTTCACACACAGAATTATGACATGAGGCTCAGTGTGGTGGAAAACAGCAGCACATTGATTTGTAACACGTTGGTTATATTTTTTATGGTTAGCTAGAAAATTTTAAATTACTCAAAGTGTTTTTTCTTAGATTGATCATGCCTACACATTTTCCTTCTTAAAAGAAAGAGCTTATGTGCACTCTTTAAAAGATGGAATTATTAATTTCAGGGCTAATAGTTGGGAGATTTCCAGTTTTCTGAAGGAACTTTGTGTACCAATCATTGTAAGCTTAAAGAAAATGACTTCAAATAAACTTATTTATTTATTTATTTATTTATTTATTTTTTGTCTTTTTGAGACAGGGTCTTGCTATGTAGTTCAGGCTGGTCTGGAGCTCACTTTGTATCCCAGTCTGGTCTTGAACTCACAGCAATCCTCCTGCCTCAGCCTCCCAAGTGCTGGGATTACAGGTGTACGCCAACACACCCAGCCAATTAAACTTATATTTTTGTGGTGAAAGAGAATAAAATGTTCATTCTAAAATTGAGAGTATATATAATTAAATATTTTCTAAAGTGTTCTTAAGTTTTCTGTGTGGTTGACTGTAAATACCTTACAGCAGTGATGGAGTTATAGGTGTCTTTAATTTCTCACATAGTTTTAGCATGGAGCCCTGTAAATAACGGGTATTCAATGTATATTTTTTGCTTATCACCTTATCTTCACTATTATACTTCTGTTGGTACATCTGTGGGAGTTTGGGAATATTTGAAAAGCATGTATACAGTGTGCTTCACATCTTACATTTGGGCAGTCATGAAAAGTGATTGGGCAGATGTGATATTATAAAGGTTTTCAAGATTGAGCAGTGTTAGAGAATTTGAGCAAATCTAAACCCAAATCCTTATGAAGTAGAAACATTAAAGACATTTTGCAAAATTTCCACTCCTGAATCTTCTATCTAATGTGTAATGGCTGTGAAATTTGGCATGGTTTCATTACTGTAGAACTAGGAGAACAGCCCTGTCATGGGTTGCATCTAGATGTCCCCCCAAAGCCTCATGTGGTCATAGGTGGGGATTTTTTGGAGATGGCTGGATCTACAATATGTGATACTGGGATTGATTTATGGTGCAATGCTAGAATCAAGGGCACAGGATGAAGAGTGTGAGTGTTACCTGGCCTAAGTACGCTGGGTAAGATATAAGGGATAGAAAGAACTGTGACCATCCTTGCTTGTTGTTTTACTACCTTCTGCCTGCCATGAACTTTTTCTCCTCTGCGATTCCCCTCTGCCATGCCACCCTGCCCTGGAGCCAATTGATTATGGACCGAAACCTCCACAAACTGTGAGATAAATAAACCTTTCCTCCTTTAACTTTGGGTCAGGTATTTTGTCTCAGCAAGAAGAAAAGTAACTAAGACCTGCCCCTTCTGTGTGGCTCTATTAGCACTGTTGGTTACTCTCATTTTTGAACAAGGGTAATTATGTTTATCTTTTCCACCAGGTTGTTTGGAGAAATGTCTAATTAACAGAGAGATCATTCTACAAGGAAATTCGTCAATAATGATTAGATTGAATGAACAAACTCCCATTACTGAGCTGTGAGTCTGGTGCCTATTTCTAATAGGTACTGAAAGATGCCCTTTGGTAATTAACTCCTTAGATGAGACAAGCCACTAGAGCTTTTTTCAAAATGTCTAGCAAAACACCAAACTAATAAGTTTGCCACATAGGAAGTTTTGAAGAAAACTTATTTTAAAAGTCCTTGTTTAAAATGGACATATTCTTCAAGATTCTGAAGGTAACACACAATTACAAAAAAATGAAAAGTAAAATAACAGATAAAGAACAGAATAATAATCATGCCACACTAGAAAGGTCCTTATACTGGGCATAGGGTTTACCTTTCTATATTTTGTGGAAAGTATTTTAATTAATTAATTAATTAATTAATTTTTGTCTTTTTGAGACAGGGTCTCACTATGCAGTTCAGGCTGGCCTGGAGCTCACTTTGTAGCCTAGGTGGGTCTCGAACTTGCAACAATCCTCCTGCTTCAGCCTCCTGAGGGCTGGGATTACAGGCATGTGCCACCATGCCCAGCTGGAAAGTGTTTTAATTCCCATAATTAATAGCAAACAATGTGACAGACCTGTAGGCAATTTCAGGGCTCTGTAAAATAACTGTACTAGTCATACTTCCTCTTTGTAGCAAGAATCAGGCTACGTGATTCTGACCACTCTGATTTTCTTTCTTTTTTTTTAAAATTTATTTTATTTTAAAAAATAAAAGGAGGAAAACATTAACACGGACAACATGCTACAAAATAGCAAACGAACAGTACAGACAGTACGGAGTTACAAACAAAGTGGTAGGGAATTAACAATGCTTGTTGTATTACATATTGATATCTACAAAGTGGTTTCTCATGAAAACAGATA